TCTCTCTATTATTCACTGCAACAGTAGAAGTATAAATGCAAATATATCCAAAATAACAGATTATTTAAAACAGCTAAACAGAACCTTTACAATAATAGCACTGTCAGAGACATGGCTCAACAATGAAAACACAACTAATGTTCACATGGAAGGGTATAAATTATATCATGTGAACAGAAGCAACAAAAGAGGTGGTGGAGTGGCTCTATTTGTTAAAAATGAAATAAAATGTAAATTAATTAATGAAATGTCAATAATTATTGATAATATCATGGAAATAATAACAATAGAAATAATAAACAAGAATGATAAAAACATATTAATAAGTTGTGTATATCGATCTCCAGGATCAAATATAGAAATATTCATTGATAAAATCGTACAACTATTGGACAAGAGTTTTAATAAAAGCATTTTTTTTCTGTGGAGACTTTAATATTGACCTGGGAAATAAAACAGATTCAAATAACATCAGTACATTTACAAATTCATTGTGTAGTTTAAATCTTTATCCGTTAATATCAAAACCAACAAGAATTACAACTCATAGTGCTACAATAATCGATAATATTTTCACAAATGTAACAAATGGGGATGTGATGGGAGGTATTTTAACGAGTGATTTGAGTGATCACTTACCAGTTTTCACGATTTATAAAAATGATCAAAGCATTACAAAAGAAATTACAATTAAGAAAAAACAATAAACACATCAAAAAAAGCAATGGACAAATTAAAAGATGATTTACATAAACAAAACTGGAAAGACGTGTATGTTGATGATGTGAACAGATCATATGATGAGTTTATGAATATTTTAGGAGCTCTGTATGAAAAGAATTGTGTGCAAAATAATTTTACAAAGAGAAATGTTGTTGACCAACCATGGATGATGAAAGGGTTGAGAAATGCTTGTAAAAAAAATAATTATTTGTATACATGTTTCTTGAAATTGAGAACACAAGAGGCTGAAGAGAAATATAAGAAGTATAAAAATAAATTAGTAGGGATTATAAGGAAACACAAGAAGGAATATTATAGTGATTTATTAAATAAAAGTAATGTTGATATGAAAGCTACATGGCGAGTAATAAATAGTGTTCTGAAAAGTCATAAAGCAAAAACAGGTATTTCACAATATATTTTGAAGGATGATGATGAAATCCATGATGAAAATGAAATTGTAAATGGATTTAATCATTATTTTGTGAACGTTGGATCAAGCCTTGCAGCTAAAATACCAAAAGCAGACAATAATGTGAACCATTCAGTTATAGGTTGTGTAGTGATGCAGGACAGCTTTGCTGTAGACACACTACTGATTAATTATTCTTAAAGCTAGTTCAAGCACAAAGAAAATCAATTGTTAATTACAACGGATTCTTTTTCGAGTTAAACTTCTGCCATGTGACTGAGATAACTGTGAGTGGATTGTTTAATCAGTGACATGATACGCCATTTTATCTTTGACCCATCAGAATAAATGTGGTCATTTATTTAACAGAATCAAAATTTAGCATCAAAACGTACACATTGATTTGCTGATCTGTTTCTGATTAATAAAAACTTGGCACGCTTTACTAACAAGACAACAGAACATTACTGATTGAGGCTGATTCACCTCTGAAGGCATCTAGATTACTGGCAAATAGAAAAGTTTAAGAGAAGGAATAGATTTAAAAAGAAGATGGATGAAGGAAGATGTATGTTTGTTGACCAGAATTAGCACTCTTCTTTCAACACCAGCTCAAACCCCCGGTCCACTTAGTGCGCGACAACTCGTGACGTCTCTTTACCTTTGCAGTGGATGGATCAGCTCCAGTATAGAGGTCCCTTTGAACGTTACCTTTCAGCGTCTCCGGTCAGGGTGGCTGGTCATCGTCTGAAGTCGTGACGATTTACTCCGTTCAACAGAACAAGCTTCCTTCGAAGTTGTAGGGCGTTACGCCCGGGTGAGTTCACTGCGAGGCGCTGTGACTCCGCTGGGATGGACGGACCCTCGTCTCATGGTCAAATCCATTGATTAAATCTGAAAGTTCCTTACGAACTCTCAGTAAGACTCCAGTCAGAAATTCCACTCAGAAGTGGAAGACTCCTGGGAAGACTTCATAGAGGAAGACTGAAAGAAGACCCAAAGAAGACTCAAGGAAGACTGAATAGTCCCAGGAAGTGTTGACTTTTTAAAGAGTACTCACTTCCTGTCACCTGGTACTTCCTGATTGGTTGAAACAACCAGCAGGGGTGGTGTTTCAGTGATGTCAGAGGGTTATTAAAAGTCAAGAGAGGATGCAGGAATGTTTAGGAACGGTTAGTACAGACAGAGAAATGTTTTGAAGAAGTGAGAAACTTTGTAGGTGCCAGCTTCTTATTTACTGTCTGCTAGGTTTAAAAACAAGGCACTTCGTTCTCATAACTTGCTTTCTGACTTCTGACCGACATCAAATCCACTCATTCAGACAGAAGATCAAAATGCACAATTACTTTGTAAATAGACATTTAACTTGATTTCTAAGTCTAATGAGGTTTAAAAATCATTATTACTGTTTCACAGTTAATTTAAATGAGTGGTTCACTTCAACATTTAGAAATGGTATGAACTAAACACACATTTGGATTATCAAGATATCTTAAAATAGTAATGGTAATGTAAAAAGGAAGAGTGTTCTTTCAATTGATTAATTCAGGATACAATTAAATAGTCTCTTGATGAGATAAATTGTATTTCTGGATTCAAATCAATGAAATGGCAGTTCCTGTCCCCTGAAGTTCTTCAGAGACAGGTTGAGGTCGGAGGCCTAGTTCACTACAGTCCCCTCTTTGGAAATCATCGCCTGTCCATGGGGATGAATTCCAACATGAACGTACGCCTCCGAATGTCCTTGATCTTGATGTAATCCAGCAAGAGGAAAACAAAAGTCAAAGAAGGTAATCCCACAACGGTTTAGGTAATTCCACAATGTTGTTGGTAATTCCATTATGTTGTTGGTAATTCCATTGTAGCAAAGCTTTAACCCCTTGGAAACAAAGTCTGTAATCCATTGGAAAAAGTCATATAATCCACAACGATAAATCCACAACGATTGGAGGTGTTGATTGATCAGCATGCAGAGGGGTTCCCTCGATTGAACTGCAGAGGCGACCACTGGATGGAGATTGGACACCCACGTTGGAGTTGTAGGTCCCTTCAGCTAAGGTTGCTGCTGGTGGTTCCCAGTGGGTGCCATTCTGGTTCTATGTGTTCATGCATTTATGTGGTTTTAGTTGGGCTTATGAGTGGGATTTTACATAAGACCTTAACCTATATGCACCTGGTGTGTAAGCTATCATG